TTTATGGCGATGAGTGAAAGTAAATACATCCTCGAGAGTTCCTCGTCGTAGGGGTTGACCTTATGCCTGCGTCTTTAATACAAGAGTAGAAAACTCTTTCCAAAGTATGTAAATATCACTCTTGAGGAAAAGTGATTTATTGCGTTCCGATGAATTCCATGGAATTTCAATCGCTTTCTATTTGATTCACGGCGTTCATCCAATGGGTACGTTCGGTACGATTGTGTACAAGTGAATATTCTTGAGCAATGATAATGTGCAAACAATATGTATGTGTCTGCAGGTAACGGTGAATACGTGTTCCGGTTATTTTTAATGGAATCCTGCAAAGTAAAGCGTACATGCTGATGTTGAAGTCGTTGTTAGTGAAAGTGTGCTGCCAATCCGGTAGTCAAGCCTTCAACCGCGAAGGGTTAATGTTACATTGCTTAAAATAATTAATGGATCAGTTGAACTACTTTTTACTTATCAAGGGGAATTAGGGGTCTAATTACGTCTAATTGCACAAAAGTAATTGCATTTAAAAAAATGCACAACCGACCAGAACCGACTAAACTATGTTCCAACAACATTTATCCCCATTTCCATCAGTCATAGTTTATTTTTTATTCTATTTTTTTTTTTTTTTTAATTTTCATACTCATAGTTTCACCTGTATGATCCAATAGGCACAACCTACATATGTGTGCAGACTCGCGTTTCCAAAGTAAAAGCAGGAATGTTTCCCAACTGGTACTGGTACATCATTGGTACACGGGAAAGCGATTTATTGCGTCACGACAAATACGATTGAACGCGAAAAAAAAGAAAGAAAGAAAGAAAGAAAGAAAAACAAATTGAGAAACAACGTTCGAGTGACTCGTCGGATCTAATTCGCAGATTAACGCTCTCGCGCGTTCGCGTGCGTTTAACGTGGGCAAACAATGTCTGGGAGTGGCTATGTCAAGGTCAGAATCTTTTATTGTACATCGCGGATATGTGGTATGTTTTTCCGTAACAGCGATTACGACTGTCCCGCTGGAATGCAAAGATGTATTTATCCATCCTGATTTTATTTGCGTGTCTATACAGTGGCTCGAGAGTTGGTTCGAATACTTGTAGAAGCATTTCTGTGAATGTATATTCTATACGTGTTGAAATTTCATTGTCGTTGTAATGAGACAAATAATAAAATAGAGATCATAGATAAGTCGATTCAAGCGCAGCATCCTTAATAGTTATTATGCATTTCAGATATAACCGACAGTAATCAGGACAGTTGTATTTTACGGTGCTGATGCAAAACATTTTGTCACACGTGTGACATACGTATGCTACCCCTTGCGAGTGTACGTGCGTGAAAATTTTGGAATTCTCTGGTCGATTACCTTCAGGACAGTCAACGGAACGTCTGGCCTCGGCTCTCCTGCACTCGAGGCCCTCCTCGCCTTTTGGGCAAGACGATTCCTCGATCGAATTTTCACCGAATATCGCATTAATCTGAAAATCAATTACATTTAATTTCGTTATATCTATGGAATTATCTTTCTCGATAATTCTATGTAACTATATGTACTTTCAAAACTTGACAATCTTAATTTTATATTATTGAAATATTATTTGCTTTTTCTTTAATTTTAATTAAAAAAAAAAAAAAACAAAACAAATAATATTTATCAATAATCGGTAAGTTCTTCTTAGAAAGAAAAGAACGAGGAGAAAATTTTTTGCAAGAAAAATGTCTATCGATATGTATGTGGTATCTTTGTCATTGTTGTAATTTGTTGAAAACGTATAACCGTACATAATGAATAGAATGTCTTCGATTACAATTTTCATTGCGCAATGGAAAATATTGAGAAGCGACGGTAATTTTATCGCGCGGACCGATGCAATCTCGTCCTTCGCGCATTTATTTTAAACGCGCATGCGTGTTTTTGGCAGGTGCAGTATAAGTATCAAAACTTGAGTGATTCAAAAAAAAAAAAAAAAAAAA